TACATATTTATAATCAATATTATATTTATTATAATTAAACAATATGAGGGGTGGGGGGGGCACAGAACAGAATGAAAGTCACAAGTGGGCCACGAGCAAAAAAAGGTTGAGGACCACTGGTCTAGATAATGTGGGACCCTCAACGTCTCAACCCTATGGGCCTTCACAGCCTGTTACAGGGAGAGCTTTACTTTACTGATCGTGTAAGGTCCGCTTTAGAACGCATATTAAAGATGAGCGGGGAGCGTGTCTGAAGAATACGGGCGGAGACTCGTCTCGTAGCGGTTAGCCCGGTCTAGAGATGACTGCCCATGATTATGATTACTACCATTTCTCCTGCCATTCTTCTTACCTGTTGCCACTTTGCCATATGTTCGTTGATGTTCTGAGATACATTTTCATAACCTCCTCCTACTTTTCCAATAGTCTGTATCGACTATTAATGACTGGAATCATGTACTGGTGATGCTGTTCCCTGTCTGCTTTAGAGTATCCATTCTTCACTTCCGTACAGCCCGAATTATATTCCTCATTTATAATAGAATCTTCAATAATACTAGCCATTTTTTATTAAAATCACATTAACTGTATGTTAATATAATGTTAATATAACCTCTTTTATCGAACTTCATACGACTATTTTTAGCAGATTACTTAATTCCTTCATTTCATCTTGTAGATTAAGAAATCCCTTTTTGTCCACATTAACTCTTTCGTTAAGGTAATATTCACAATAAATACTTGTATCTTTTGTAACTTTACACTGTAGGCATGTAACTTTCCCGCTCTTGGATAGAACACACTCTTCCCGCTCCTCTCTACTCATCGCCATCGGTGACATTACGGCGAAAGTCGAAATAATGGAAGGAGAAGAGGCGGTAATTCCTAGGCAGGGGCAAGATAAACACGTTATTGCGGAAGCAGATACAAACGCAACAATAAAGGGCGCTGTGTTGTCAATGAGGGCGCTCTTGGAAACGGCAATGTTGACGCGTTTCCGTGGCAACGACTTGCAGCAGTACACGAGGTGTTTTCTGCGTGGTCCGCCCTAGGCTATATGGCGAGGACGACTATGGAAGTAAGCAGTAAGCAGGAGGGCATAATGGTTTGCCGTGAGGACCGTTGGTATCAGCTGAGAATTGGAAAAATATTTCCTGCTCTAAGAGCAACCATGGTGAGTTCTTTCTGCTTGTTTACAGGAGAAGGAATGTATTTGTCTTCATCCCCTGATATACAAGTCCAGAAAAAACAAATATTTTATGACAAGATTCGTAATCCATGTGGTCACAATTTTATGGGTGGTTGTAACTATTGTAGCAATTTAGCATAATGTGAATTACAATGATAAATTGAAGAAAGATGTTGTGAGAAAGCCATGCAGCATGGATATGAGAATGAGAAATGCACAGAAAGATCCAGAGGGTAAACCTGCAGTAATGAGACCACTTTGGTGAGCTATGCATAAAGGGTAGGATAGTACTGATCATTTCCATGCCACAAGCTGAGTAGATTGGCATGGTGTACCCATGTACAAATTGCCAGAGCTGAGGAGATTTGCTCAACATTAATCAGGTAGTAAATAATTTCAGTCAAAACATGGTAGAAGCAGACTCTCACACTGTGTACATCTGTTGTCATTTGAAAGTAATCTGCGGAAATACTGAGGTTTTTTGTGTTCAACTGCATTTATCTCCAGTATTATTTCAAACCTTTAGTTCTGTGGTGCAGTTAGGCAGCCAGAGGTTTACAACACCTCACCAGACAAACACCACACAGAATGAACATTGGCCAGCGACAGTAACAGTAACTTAAGGCGTGTTTAAGTTCGTAAACCAATTCTGACACCAATGTAGCGTGTTGTGTGTGTCACGCTACAAATAAATTTACGCTGTTGTTTGATATAGCGAATTTATTCCGCTCGCTCACCTTACACACACCTTACAATCATTAACTCTTGCAGTGTTACAGTTACTGCTTACACACTGTCTCGGCCGATACTGGACTATCTTCTCTGGCGGTTTATAGCAGACTAACTTCTTTTGGCGACTAATCCGAGACTCTCTTCTTCGACACTTGGATAAAGACTAACTGTGCGAATGCATTCAACCCCGTTTTATAACCTCAGTCGCTGCTATGCAACGAACCCTCTGTTATAGCCATGGAGACTCCTGTTAGAACTACAATAGAGCGATTGTTGTTTCCTATGCAACGATCTATTCTAGCGTTTCCATAGAAGTGACTCTTCTGGATTCCCGACACGTTACAATATAGTTGCACTGGTTGTTTTACAGGACCTTGCAGATTCAGAGAATGTACAAGGTCTGTGTAGTGAGACGTGCCCAGCATCTTCATGCAATGCTTATCAGGCCATCAGTATGAAAACCGAGGTACTTTCAGATGCAGGAGAAGAGGAGTATCCTGTCCCTATAACATTTCCAGGAATATATGCTGAACCTGAGGTGAGCTGTGTATCTGTTAGGTGGATTTCAAAAATACTGGTATCCTCATTTCATGAACTTAGCTTCAGTGAACAAATTACATTCATAAAAGTATACACAGCATGGGGCAATTTGGTAGAAGCAGACACCACCTATCTGTATATCAGCATCATTCCAGTCTGTACCCATGCCGTGTTCTAATCATACAGATACATGCCCAACATGACTCTTAATAGGAGAAAGTGGTTGTGAGAATTATTGATACACAGAAGAAAGTAAAAAAAAGCAACAGATTTGGCTGCAAAGCTTAAATAATAAAAGAACTCAAAGGAGGGCAATGATATAAAGACCTGTACAGCTGTGTGAATGAAGCTGCTTTTATTTTATTGCATCAGCTATGAGGAAAGAAATGTGATTAAAATAATAATTTTTATTTGCAACAATAAATAACAAGCAATGCCATCCTCACTTTAATGCTTACATACTACTAGAACAGGGTAAGAAATTCTGTGGGACTTCTCTGTGACTCATTAATGAGCTGCCGACATTTACATATAAAGTAGTGGGAATATCAGTTTTGATTTATGATATTTCATCCTATGAACAGTCTGCTAACTCTCTGCTAGCAGTAACCTTTGGAAACATGGTAATGAATGAAGTCTCTGTAATAAAATTTTTGGGCATACAAATCGATAATAAATTGAATTGGAAGAGTCATGGGGAATACATCCTTCCTAAACTCAGTTCTGCTATTTTTGTAATTTGGAGTTTGTCTTATTTTATGAATTTAAAAACCCTGCGAATGGTGTATTTTTCTTACTTTCATTCTATCATTAAGTATGGAATAGTCCTTTGGGGCAATTCAACTAATAATGCTAGAGTTTTTAAATTACAAAAGAAAGTAATAAGGATCATATTGGGAGTGGGACCCAAAGACTCATGCTGAAGTCTTTTTAATAAATTAGATATTTTACCATTGTCATGAGAATATATTTTTTCTTTGATGTTGTTTGTGATAGATAATCAAAATAATTTCTGTTTAGGTTCAGAGGTTCACGGCCTGAACGCTTGAAGCAAAAATCAAAATTATATTCCAACTTCAAATCTTTCGGTTTTCCAGAAGGGCACTATGTTTACTGGTATTAGGTTATTTAATAGATTGCCAAAGACCATTCAAAGTCTTAGAAAGAATAGAATCAGTTTTAAAAACAATTTATTTTCATATCTCAAGAATAACTCATTTTATACAGTTGATCAATTTTTGGAGCATACAGTAAATAGTTAGTTACAGTGTTTGTTTAGCTTTGTATTGTCTTTCTGCTCTGTTTGTTTGTGTTATGATTGTGACCAGTTTCATGTCCATTGTATTTTGGACTTGTGAATGTATATAATAAGAGAGAGTTGTCATTATGTTGAGAATCAACAGGATAAGTAATGATTCTCTAAAGATTTGTGATGACTGGCTGATTGTACAGATATGTTGGGCATTTCCTATTGTCTGAAGCATATTTAACTTGCCTGATACTTGGGGAGTTGCCTCTGTTCCTGCCTTTAGGTGACTATCATCGTACTTACAGACTTTGTGCTATTTTTTAAGTTGAGGTTAGTGGCATGGTTGGGATGAAACGTTGGCCCTTCCAGCAATCTACACACTTCATCCCACAGCTGAAGACCAGGTGGTCACTATCAGAAGGAAGAGGTTTGTTGAGATTTCACAGCAACAGCAGGCTATGTCTGGATAGGAGTGACACAGAACAAAATTTGTTACTGTGCGAGGATTGATCTGAAACCCTCAGAAGGATTCAGACCACTGCATTGGTTTGTGCTGCACAAGCAAGCTCATCTCCACACTTCCCCAGTACAGAAGAGACAGTGATTTTAGTGTAAGCAGACTCCCCTGATGATGGTCACATTGAATTGTATGTGTGATGATTTTACTGTCCACAACTGTTGGTTTCTCATGACAAAAGACTGTACTTTAAGAATTAAATTTTCTACCCCCAGTGTGAATAAGTTTGATCAACTTGTCATAACACAGTCTTTTCAATCAATCTCTTATCCATATTAAATTTGACAACAGTTCAACTTCGGCGTGACTGTTAGCAAAAGAGAAACTGTTGGGTGTATTAGCTGAGTGAATAGTTTCTTCCCAGTACAGGGGTGGAACACTGAGGGAGTCTGAGAACAGGGTGTGGAGGAGAATATTTGGACTGAAGAGAGATGAAGTGACAGGTGGTTGGAGAAAACTGCATAATGACGAGCTTCATAACTTGTACTCTTCTCCAAGTATAATTAGAATGATCAAGGCAAGGAGGATGAGGTGGGCAGGGCATGTAGCACGAATGGGGGAGATGAGGAATGCATGTAGGATATTGGTGGGAAAGCCAGAAGGAAAGAGACCACTGGGAAAAACAAGGTGTAGTTGGGTGGACAATATTAAAATGGCTCTTAGAGAAATAGGATGGGATGGTATTGATTGGATTGGTCTGGCTAAGGATAGGGACTGGTGGAGGGGTCTTGTGAACACGGTAATGAACTTTCAGGTTCCATAAAATGCTGAGAAATTAACGAGTAGCTGCAGAATTGGTGGTTCCTCAAGAAGGGTTCAGCTCCATGAGTAAGTAAGTAAGTACAGGGGTGGAAGCACTATCTCCAGTCACTTATTGCATGCATTTGTGAATTAGACATCTGTTAGTGGCACTGTAGTTTGAGATGGTGGAAGTGAGAAACAAGTGGATTGTAATGACATGTATGAAACTGGTGAGTGATGTTAGTGATGTAGATTTTGAGTGGGAAAGCATGTAACATTACAAGGGCAGAGGAACTTCTCAGTGTTGGGCTTCTGCTGCAGAATGCAGCAAAAGGATATGGTTTTCTTGATGTTTGAATAATATGTCAGCAAAGATATTTGAATATGCAGCAAACAGAATAATTAATTAAACTGCAGGGGGCCTGTGTCTGAAGCAGAATCTCGGAACCCAGAGATTCACATGGTGCTGTGGGTTTGATATCTTAAGTCAGTGTTTGACTTAGATCTGTGTTTGCCTAAAATGTGTCCCATGCCTGAGTGCTCGCTTGATGATACCACCATGTTTCCTGATGAACTGTTTGATCAGGTGTTGACTGGTAGTACCCTTGCCTGTGGAGACAGGGTTTTCTCCTGCTGTTGCCATAATGATCAGAGCCTTTACATTGCCCTACTCAGTGACATACAGATCTGCTTCATCTGACATCAGCTCCCTTTGCCCTGCAGTTTCCATTCACACCCATGATATCATCTGGTTGTTATCAAGTTACCCACCTTCATAGGGCAGGGTTGCTGGGTATCTCACCCTGTGGGTCTGCTTAGCAGTGAGTCTTCCAGTGCAGCAAGTGGCTGCATGACTGCCAGTGACTAGCAAGACTGCTTGTTTATGGGTAGGAGTGTGCTTTGAATAACAGCTGTGATGGACCTGTGCAAACAAATCAATTATGTGGAGTCTGTTGCATCTACAGTTGTGGTGAAGTTGAATTGAGTCAGTGTTTATAAGTGACTGAGTGTGCTTTCTCCCCAGCAGCCAAAGCAGACAAACGTGTCTGTACATGTGTCTCATTCCGTTAGCTGACACACACGACACATCAGAAGCAATACACTACTAGCCTTGAAACTCAGTATTCCATTCTGTTGCAGAAATGGGGCAGTCCATATAAGCACCAATGTATATATTATGTGATAACAGTGTTCTGATGCTGTGAAGTGCTCTTGGTGTTAAAACTGTATAGTGCTCTGTACATAAATTGGGACATGTGGTTATACAGTAGATGTACAAATAGTTTTGAGGGTGAAAGTTACAGCAAGAAAGGGAATGTCAGAAATTTCACATTGGACAAACCAAGTCAGATGCGTTCATACCTGATTCAATGGAATCTATTCCATTCCAGTAGATAACATTTTATAACAAAATCTAGCATGTTTGCCTAAAACTGTACAGTTGGATATTTGAGGCTGAAGCAGTATGGGATCTACACAGTAGACTGCAACAAGTGAGATCTGCAGTTGACAGGCAGATGAAATCATCACATAATACCACAGCTAGTGCTAGTTCAGTTCCAGCTCAGCAGGTTGCTAAATGAGTGAAAGAATTCTCATGTGGAGGGAAAATGCCCTGTCATTAGAATTTTTGAGGTTGGTTACATCTTTCCATTCATATTGTAGCTCCTGTGTTCCCATTGACAGTGTTTTATCTGCATGTTATCATCAGGGAAATGGAGTGCTGCAAGGGTCAGTTTTAAGGGTGACCTTGTTTGCAGGCATCAGTTGGATAGTAAGTGTGGCTGCTCCATGTTTGTCAACATTATTGTACATATGTACTGTATGTTCGTATGTTCATAACTCCACAATCTGCTATAGTTGCAGGAACACTTGTACATTCAAACGCTCACATCAGACTACTCTTATGTTCCACACTGGATTCTGTGGACTGGATTTCCTTTATTGCCACAAAGAGGGAAACTGTATCATAGTTCAGCTGATTTTTCTTATTTTGAAAAAATAGAAGAGGTTATGGGAAGCGCTAACTGCCTACTTTCTTTCATTACATGTTGAGTGTTTGATGTGCTATGGACTGGATATAAAACATCACATCCAGTAACTTGAATTGAATGTGACATGACACCTGAAAGCCAGAATAGTGGAGTTTGAAGTGATCGCTGTCGCAAGGCATTGACTTCGTAAAGATGTTCCCACAGCAACAAATATGCTTACAACAATGGAAGAACTGTTGGACACATTACACAGCCCATTCTTTATCAGATACTCAAAATGTAGAGAAAGGAAAGTATGCACTTATTTCTTCCCAGGACTGCTTGCATAATGTGAATGCATAGACATTATAAATATGGCATTGTTTGTTTTACAGAACCCTGCAGATTTGGGGAAAGTACAAGATATGTGTAATGAGATATACCCAGCTTCTTCTCATGATGCATATCCGGCTGTCAGTATGAAAACTGAGGTATATTCAGATCAAGAAGAAGAGGAGTATCCTGTCCCACTGACGTTTGTAGGGATAAAGGGTGAACCTGAGGTGAGTTGCGTCTCTATGCCCAGATTAGGCAGATTTCACAAATACAGGTATCCCTCGTTTAATGCACAGTTCATTTACGAACTTTTGCTACAGTGAACAACTTATATCCTTAAGAATTTTATTTCTGTAAAAGCAGAGAAATACATACACAGCATGGAGCAAGTGGGGAGAAGCAGACACCACCATCATCATGTATGGCTCCACAGTGGAGTCAAGACCATCACAAATCCTGTCTAAACACTGTGTCCTGTATTAACTCTTGTGCCATCTACACTAGCTCTCTTGAGATTGTATGTGTGAGGAATTTGGAGAAACTCCAGTCTTCCTGTAGAGGCAAGTCTTGTTCTGTACTCCTTGGTGAAGGTGGCAACACAGGCCCATACTTCTTACAGTGTGGAATTTCAAACTGCCTCCCACAACAGATTCTTACTGAACACCTTTATTTCCAAACCTGATTAAGCACACCATTAGCACATTCTGCATCTTGAGAATCATATGACACCTGACCAAAACACATTCTGTGTAATACAGGACACTGATATTATTTGAGCCTTTGTTAGCCATGCCCCTGCAGGAGAAAATTCATGCCAAACTATATGTCAGAATTCCCCGAAGTTCTGAGGATTCTGTCAGTGGACTATGGCTTTCCTAACTGAAAACAGTTCCCATCAGGAGCATGCGACACACTACTTTGTTCCAATTTGCTATCCACATGCAAACACACACCACCCACAGGCATCCCTCATCATGTGTTCAGTCTATTGCTTACTGCAGCCAGTGCTGTATGTGACCGGGTATTTCTGATACTGCGACTGTTGAAAATTTACTGGCCTTGCTACAGCCATGGGAGAAGAGCATCTGCAAGAGAAAGTGTACCAGCCATAATATTCATGTGAAATTGGGTGTTATGTGTTGCAAGAAAAGAGGCGAGTGTGCAGTAGGTATTATACATGCTACTCAGAATTCTGGCATGATGATTCATACTACTTTGAGGAGTGCACAGTGAGTTGAAACAAAGGCTGTTAAGCCACTCAAAGGTGAAAATTACATACCAGATATGTGAAGTAATGGAGATTTTGGAGTGGTGTTTTGTAATGTGAATTCTATCTACAACCCTTTAAGCCTAGCTCTCATTCAGCAGAAAGCTTTAAGTTTGTATGAGGCTGTGAAGGAGTAATCAGTAGTTCTAGCAAAAGAGGCAGGATTCCAGGATGTCAGTGAAGATGACGGTGGAATTGTTGGAATCTCATTCCTTCCCCTTAACAAATGAGGAGCTGGGAGAGGTGAAGAGGCAGACATATGAAGAAGCACAGGATGGCCCCACTGATGAGAATGTTATTTCAGAAGAAAGTGCCTTAACAGTTAAAAGGTTTAAGAGAAATCTCCAGCAAAATTCATGAGGCTGTGGATTATTTTGTAAGCATGATCCCCTCTGTGATCATTGTGCCAAGGCTGAATGTGGAGCAGATGATGTCTTGTCATGCTATGAGGAAATTTTAGAAAAAGAAAAAAAATAAAGTGAGCTGGAACCCAAGGAAGTCTGCAGAATGCAGACCATTCAGGAAGGGATCAGAATTTCAGGTAAAAGCAATTGAGAACTTCAGTTAGTGATATGGTAAGGTTATTTATGTAAAAAGATAATTATTTTAATGCTATTTGTCCATGGGAACGCAACAAAATTACAAAAACCAACAACTGACTCGATGACGTAAAGCATCAATCAAAGAATTTTATTCTTGTTTTATACTATAATCTAATTTATTGTATTTTACGTCAAGCATGTTATATAATTAATATTACTGTATCCAATTTTACTAATACTGCAGTTCAGTGGTGTATATATGTTAGCCATGTATTTGCCTGATGATGGCTATTAATAGCCGAAACATGTAGCAGAGCCAAAACTAGGCACTGACCTCCATAAAGTTGTGTTGTGAAGGTTTTAATAAAGAAGTTGTTAAGGCAATATCATTATTAATTGAAAATGGGTGCCAGAGTTGTTTTTTGGGGAATGATTCCTTGTCAAAACATGTCATGGAAGGCATACTAACTTCTCAGGTTATGGACACACCTGTGGCAACCTCAGATGTTGCAGCCCTTATTAAATTTTGTATACATTATTTGTTGTGTGTAATTTCCCCCTTAAGGGGACTTGCTTCAGGCGGCATCTTTCTGGTTCCAATTGACCATTGTTAACGAAGATCCCTTGTACGATGGTGGCATATCTAATGTCTAACTGTTCTCTTTCTTATCACTGATATATAGCAGAAGTCCGCTTTACATATCTGGAGTATATGGATGTGTACAGATCCGTACACAAAATCCTATTCTGTGTTCATTGGTTTTCATACTCTACAAGCATGTCTACTGGTTTTTAAATTGCTTGCTCATTACCGTAGTTTTGTAATTATATGTTCATCTCTTTCTTGTGGTCAGGAAGCTTGGAGGAAGGTAACTGAGCTGTATGACAAGATGTATACCTGTGTCTAGACACCTGGTCCCACCAGAGAGCATTGAAACCAGCAACTGAATCAGGGCAATGAAGTGGCCTGTTTGCTGAGTAATGCAGAGGAAAGGGTGCTCACCTTGACATACAGAGGGCACTTTTTTTCTGTAGTCTGACACTAACCTTTGCATTGTGATCCTTCTTGATGAGACATCATTATTGCTCTACAGAGTCTTGATGGACACGCAAGGCCATTTGGTTTCCAATCCCCACAAGGCGGTGCCTTTTGCTGGGCATCTGGCTCAGTGAGCCTGGTCAGCTATGAGACTGCCAGTGCAGAAGCCAGCGAATCTGTTTTCCTTCAGGGTTTGTCTTTAGAACAGCCTCTGGATGGTGATCTCTGTGCCTTACTTCATTACTCTCTGATATCATTATGGAAAGACACAGGATAACACACTACAGTCATTGAAGCCATGTGTTTTAGAGTGGCAGTTTGTCAGCTCTATCAGGAAAGAGGAAATCATGCTTACAATTGCCTGACACAAGCATCTATTGCGTGGTCCCCCCATACCTGCTTCTAGACAGTGTGGTGTGCCCATTACTAGTTCACACATCTGGCAGGAGTGCCCATGTTCTCACAAAGGCCAGATATTTTCATGGTGAGGGAACATTGCTTGGCATCCTGGAATATGAATTTGTTCTTGATGTCAGGGTGTTCATGTTTATTTAACCCTCTGTGTACTGTTCTCTTCCAGTCATTTTATTTGTACTGTTTCAAGAATTTCACTAGGCCATATACATTCTGCCCTATGGTAATTTCTTTAACTCAGCATTTATTGTTGCTTCATTTAACATTCCCATTCACTATTAATCAGATTGCTGTACAGCCTTACAAATGCATCATATCATTTAATCTTGTAACCTGTTACATATAGGAAGTCTAGCTTTTACTTTTATTCACTCACAAACAGCCATACATGCTGATGGACAGACAAGAACACACTTGTATATGCGCTCACCCTCTCTTCTCTCCCCCACACGTTCCTGCCCCTTCAATCTGCCACTGTGCTTGGTTTTCAAAGTTATTTCAATCCATAGGAGAATTTTTTTGTGTTATTTCGTCTTGTTTTGCAGGTTATTGTGTGTGAACCTGACACTGCTCTTCTCGAGAAGCGGTCATTTTACTGTGATGTGTGCAGTAAGTCGTTTAAAAAATATTCTGTTCTGAGGATACATCAGCGCACGCATAGTGGAGAGAGGCCATTTTGCTGTGAAGTGTGTAATACGACATTTAAACAGTATTCTCATCTGAAGACACATCTCCGCATACACAGTGAGGAGCGGCCATTTTACTGTAATGTGTGTAATAAGTCATTCAAGCACCACTCTTCCCTGAAGATACATAAACGCATACATAGTGGGGAACGACCATTTTGCTGTGACATTTGTAATAAGTCATTCAATGTTCACAGTAATCTGAAAAGGCATGAGCGCATACACAGTTGGTAATAGCCATTTTACTGTGATGTGTTTAATGTTATTCAGCCTTCAGACACATCAAGCCACACATAGTGATGTGTGCAGTAAATAACAGAGCAGTATAAATGGGTTTAGGCTGAATGGGGCAATATGCAACTTGCAGCATGCCACACTATTGCAAGATGTAAGTAACACAGGTTTACTCTGTGTTGCATGATATTGGAGTTGCTTGCTAAACTTTCTAACTGATACAGGAAATGAACTGAGTCCCACGGTACAAAATGTCAATGCATATCAATATCTGTTTAATACTGATTGCTGAATGTGTACAAGACCCTGTGTAGGTGAGAGCAAGCAGACATGACGTGACATTCACCCACAGTTACGGTGTTTACCTCAGCTGCGGCAGCTTGCAATTAGTAGAGAATAGTAATAGTAGATTATAGAAACTTATCAAAAACTTGTAAATATATTATTGCAGTATCATTTGTCATTTGCTGTAGGTCATCAGTGCTCTTTTGCTGTCTCTACTGAGTAAGTTTGTTTATCTGTTAGTTATGAATCGACATATCATTTATATTGAGTATAATGAAATAAATCTTTTGGAATGGTCAATTAAACAGAAAGTGTGAATTAGTGATCATTATCTAACTAACTTCATGGAGCCGAGTTGTTCTTGAGAAGCCACCAATTGTGCAGCTGCTCAAGAACTTCCCAGCATTTTATGGATCCCAAAAACTTCATTGCCATGTTCACAAGAGACCTCAACTGGTCCCTATCCTGAGTCAGATCAATCCAGTCCATACCATCTCATCCTATCTCCCTTAAGATCCATTCTAATATTATTCTGCTCCCTATACATAAAGGCCCACCTAGTTGTCAGTTTCCTTCTGACTTTCATACCAATATCCTATGTGCATTCTTCTCCCGATTCATGCTACATGCCCTGCCAATCTCATCCTCCTTGACTTGATCATTCTAGTTATACTTGGAGAAAGCGGCCTCCGTAGTCTAGGGGTAACGTTCCCACCTCATGACTCAAGGTACACGGGTTCAAATCCGGCAGAGGTTGTGGAATTTTTAAGGGCGGAAAAATTCAGGGAACAAGTCCTCTGGGAGGGACTTTAAGCCATGGGTCTCGTGTCGTAGATTTACGTCACGTAAAAGAACCTAATGTCTCTAGGAGACCGCTGAGCTAAATTTGGCCAAAAAGTTTCCCGCCCAAAGTAGTTTCCAATGCCTCCGGTAGATGGGGGAAGTATTAGGTACCACTGCCAGAGGTGGGGGGACCTCTCTGACAGAAAGGGACTAACTGTTAGATACCACTGCCAGTAGAAGGTTGGAACCTCACTGGCAGAAAGGGGCTGATAGTAAGCACCAGTACCGGTAGGGTATGGAGACAGTAGAAATTAAAAGGGGGACACACAATGGACCAATAACTGGTCTAAGTGCATGGGGAAGACCACCCCCTCAATACTGAATACTTGGAGAAGAGTACAAGTTATGAAGCTCATCATTATGCAGTTTTCTCCAACCTTCCATCACTTAACTCTTTTCACCCCAAATATTCTCCTCAGCACCCTGTTCTCAAACACCCTCAGTCTGTGTTCTTCCCATAATGCCAGAGACCAAGTTTCACACCCATACAGAACCACAGGCAGAATTACAGTTTCATATGCAGTGGAACTTCGCATAATTGTAAAAAAAGACTCGCTTAACGAGCGAAGTTTCGCGTAACCGAGTGATGAGAGGGGAAGTCCCGGATTGTGTGCTTGCTACATCAGAGTGTGTTTAGCACTTGTTCCACTAGCATCTTAGTGTCACTTGTGATCATACATTTTTCCAAACTTGTGTTCAGACATATTATTTGTGATTTTTTTGTGCAAAGTTTAATAACCCTTGCAAAAATGTCCCCGAAGAAAAAGCAGCAAAAAGAGAGCCATAAGAGAATAAAAATAACCATAGAAATGAAACGTAAAATCATTGAAAAGTGAGAACAAGGTATGAGCATGGCTGATCTAGCATGCACATACAATCGGTCTACATTAATGATTTGCACGATTTGGAGTTTCATTGTGTTTCACAGCATGAAGTTGTGGAGGAGAATTTGTCAGAGGAGGAGGAGGTAACAGCAAAGCAACAATCTTCTGGCACAATGAGAGAAATGCTGAAAGCATGGGAAACTGTTGCATCGTACATTGAGAAGCATCACCCTAATAAGGCAGTGGCTATGCGCGCTACAAATTTATTTAATGATAATGCTGTGTCGCATTTTCACCAAATTTTGAAGCGTCAGCAAAANTCATGGATACAAGATTGGAACATGGAATGTAAGAACCTTGAATCAAGTAGGCAATTGGAGAATTTGAAAATGGAAATGCAGAAGAATGAGGTGTCTGTTTTAGGTGTCAGCAAAGTGCGGTGGAAAGGACAAGGTGAAATAGGACGTGGTGATTATACAGTGTATTATTCTGGAGGTGTGGCAATAGTGGTGCATAAAAGTGTAGTGAGGAGTGTTGTTAAGAAGATTGTTTGTAATGACAAAATTATTGCTCTGAAGTTAAAGGCAGAACTGGTAGATATACTGATTATGCAAGTGCACATGCCAACATCAGAGTATGAAAATGATGAGGTGGAAAACGTGTATGACACAATTGAAGAAATTCTTCAGGAAGATGGAAGAGGTGACAAAAAACAGCATCATATTAGGAGACTGGAATAGCACTGTTGGAGATGAATCATATCAGAATATTGTTGGATCACATGGACTAGGAAGACAGAATCACAGGGGTCAAATGCTTATTGACTTTTGTGAAAGAAATGGACTGATTGTTACCAACACTTGGTTCAAGAAGCCAAAGAGAAGACTTTACACATGGAAGGCACCTGGGGATTGGAGGCGGCATCAGCTGGA